CGGGCGCCCCGCGTCTTCCCTTGGTGAGGGACAGGCCTCGCCCCGCCCCGCTGCGGTGTCGGCGCCGTGAGCGCCTGCGTCCCGCTTTGTAGCGTCGCCGTTGCTGTGAAGCCCGGGCATGTCGGCCTGAGACGCAGCTTGTGAGCTAGGATCGATTTAGGAGTGGAAAGTGAAATAAAAGACATGTGTAGTGAGTTTTCTATCATTTCGAGTTAAACAACTAGGAGATGACCTAAGTTTTTTGTAATTTTGACTTAGCCTTAGGAGTTCTCCGTGAGTCTGTAGAAAGGAGCATCATAAAATTTTATGATAAGTTCCTTTAAATCTTTAAAAACATGCTGGGCATATTTGGCCTTTTTAAGTACACGGAAGCCTGCCTTTTTCCTTCCTGGCACATGCAGGAAGGAGCATATGCTGAGCAGCTTCGCAGAAGTAACGTGCACAGTATGTGTTCAGTGTCTAAGCCATGATACTTCTTTTCAAAATCTTTTGTAAGAAGTAGGTTATTGGTTTATGTTCCTGTATCAAAAACGGTTAACTTGAAAAAGTTCTTGAGTTAAAAAAAGAACATGGAAGAAAGAGCAGAGAAAAAAACGAAAATTGGGTAGTTGAGAAAAAATACAATTTTCATTATACTGTTAATTTGATAATAGCTTTGAAAATGAATTGTTTGTCTGTGGGATGTAACTCAAGGAGCAAAATACCTTTTTTTACAGATGCAGCATTCCAGGCAAACCAATTATCCTAACTGGGATAAAAAAGAAAGTGCAGATCACAGAAGATGCGACGGTGCTGATAAGAGAAAGAGGAGATCATTAAGTGGTGCACAGAACAAGCACTGCAAACACGATCTTTCTAAGCTTCCTGACAGGTAAATAATTTTTTGACTTCTGATACCAGCAAGCATATGTTTTAAGATTTTATTATTCTCATCAGGTCATCTGATAATGTATTCAGTTTTGAGCTGGAGATATTTCAAGAGAGATGTCTTACAGCTTAAAGTGAAAAGCTGCCTTGATAGGGGTACTAGAATTATTTTAATTACGTTTATTTGATCTTGTGTTTGTAGTACCTGTTCAGAAACCAAATCTGTAAATGAAAGAGACCATCACGAACGACGCTATGTTGAAGAATACAGAAATGAGTACAATCAAGGATGTGATACTGGGCATCACAGCAGCAAATCATCAGGTCATAGTGGGACGAGTGGTTACAAAAGGAAATACAAGACACATCACACTACCTGTTATCATCATCATTCACAGGTGGTGCGACCAATTTTAATTTAGGACTTTTTTATTTTAAGAAGATAGATTCTCATCTGGGCAGTAGTAACTGAGTGTGGGGGTTTGGGGAATTGTGTCAATAATAGTTTATTCCTTTAGCTAATATTAGTAGATGATTCTTTTTGCTAGGATTTTATTTCCTTCAGTGAAAATGTATAGTTTGTAGGTATGCTTGTGATACCACAGAGTATACTCCTGCTATTTGTTCATTGGATATATTTGAGCAGATTAATGAATAGCCACCATCAATTGGAATACTTGAAATACGGGCATCACTTTCATGCCGTCAAAATTTTTATTATGACAAGCATTTATTTCAGCCCTACTCGAAAAATCCAAGCACAAGCTTTTAAACTTGCTTTTGACTAAGTATCACTGAAATAGCAAGGAGATAGTGTCAGATTTTAACTTTTTAAAAAATGATTTAAGATGTTTTAAGTATCACTGAAAAATCTGTAGAATCAGATATGTACGATGTCTGCCCACTAGCAGGGCAGTTTTTCTGATCTTTGTTATATATTTAACTCTTAAAGAAGCTGAAGATAGGATTTATCATTTAAGATCTTCAGCTGAAACAGCCTAAAGTAAATGTATATGCTACTTATGATTTTAAGAAATTAATTCTTACCAAATATTTGGACCAGTGATTTAATCTCGATTACTTAAGATGGGTATTTTAATTTGGACACAAGGCTATTTTATTAAATACATATATATACACACATAAGATAATTATTAAATCCTTTTGCTTTAAAAAAAAAAAATGGGCACTGAAATACCAAAGTACAATTCAGTGAACCAATCTTTTTAAAAAAAAGAAAAAAAATTGTGTTGTAATTTTTTGTTGCCTTGCCACTTTGAGTATCTCATCTGAAAATCTGTTCCTTGCCATGTTTTTCTCCTGTAACATAAACTATGTGCCCTGTGAATTTCTGGGGACTGAATTTGAAATTGCTCCTGCCAACCGTTTGTGGCCTGGCGTGTATCTGAATGCCTGAATATCTCCCTGCTGAATGAATTTCGTATTCTGACCTGAATTCACTCGGGTTTATTGATTGGCTGGACGATCTTGGTGCCGTTCCAGAAGAGTCATCGAAGGAAAAGATCCAGGAGTGTAGAGGATGATGAGGAGGGTCACCTGATCTGTCAGAGTGGAGACGTACTAAGTGCAAGATGTATAGAATATTTTTCAAAATTTATTAACTTTTCAGATAGATTAAGTTCTTTTAGCATAAGATGTGAGGGGGCTTTGGAAGTCTTTTCTTTCTGTCTTGACTTTCATGTTTGGGGGTGGGGATTGTTATTTTTTTTCTGTAGAACTTAAATATTTTTCTTTTTTCTTTTTCCTTCCCCCCCCCCAAAAAATAGTAAATGAAGTTAATAAGCCTACTAGAATGAGATCCCTGTAAATGTGCCTTGATGAGAGTTGTCCAGTAACATCTCTCAAACTAGATATTTACAAGTTTAAGCAGCACAGTCTAGAATAATTTTCAGTGATAGTACTTAGTCTTTTGTTCGTTTTATTTTTGTTTGTTTGCTTGTTTTTTTAATAGCTGAGTAACCACAACTTCTATGACAGAGAGTTCTTTTCTTATAGATGAGATCGTTGCTATTTTGGGTGAAGGTGCTTTTGGGAGAGTAGTGGAATGCATCGATCACAAAGCGTAAGTCTTTTTAATTAAATACATGTTATTTTTCTTACTGATCCTATGGCAGTGTAGTGCTTTCTGACTCTTACCAGGTTTTATCTTTACTTCCTCATGTGCTGCTCGGTTTCCAAACATGAATTTATGTTGGTACATAATGTTACAAACAGCACCTGGTCATGAGGGTTGTGCAGGACTGTTGGATGAGGCGATGGCCTGGAGAATATGGGGTGAAGCTGCACCCCCCCACACTGGGTGGTCCTGTGGCCTGTAACACCCCCACCTATATAATGAGCAAGGTCTCTGACATCACATAGCTTACCAGAAAGTATCCTCTGTTACGATGCAATGCCATTTGGATTCTAGCAGTGAGTGTATTATAAATCAAGAATATATTTTGTGTTTGATGGCAGTTTTGCTGTGTGCAAGATACTACCAAGCTAGATTGCCTTTCTGGTCACTGTAGATGGTATTTGACACGTTGGTTGTTTTTACTACTTAAACTGAAAGGGAGTTGTCATTTTTGACTAACAAACAGCCGTGTTAAGCTGTGAGATGTGGAATTTTCTGCGATATTAGCCCAGCATACATAAATACAAAGAGGAGGTAAATGGGGCTTTTAATTTTCAAGAATACCACCAATATATAAGGTATTGAGTATGTTTTCAAAATTAAAGATTAACTTTTAGTTGTGTTTGGATAGATGAACCTTGGCTACGTTAAGTCAGTGTGTACTTAAAGACCTTTTCTGATAATTGTTATAAACCATGTTATATGGTGAGAACTACGGAATATTATTAACACTACTCATTATGCTAATCAGTGATAAAAACCTGTCTTTTCAGAAGAGACAGACATGTAGCTGTGAAAATAGTAAAAAATGTTGATAGATACTCTGAAGCAGCTCATGCAGAAATACAAGTGCTGGAACATTTAAATGCATCGGATCCCAGCAGCACCTAGTAAGTATACAAAGCCGACAGTACTTCGGTTTGGCTTCAAGATTTTTAAGTCTCTTTCTGTAACATAAGATGTCTGCATTTTAGCGTTATATAACTTCCTGTTGCAATTCATGTATTTTCCTGCTTTTGCAGTCGCTGTGTCCAGATGTTAGAATGGTTTGAGTACTATGGACACGTCTGCATTGTTTTTGAGCTACTGGGGCTCAGCACCTATGACTTCATAAAAGAGAATGGCTTTCTGCCATTTAGGCTGGACCACATTAGACAGATGGCGTATCAGATCTGCAAATCTGTGAACTGTAAGTATGTTTCTTTTTTTTTTGCTTTATTTGTTAGATTTTCTTTGTGGAATTTGCTAACTATATTTGTTATCTTGCAGTTTTGCATCTGAACAAGTTGACACATACAGATCTGAAACCGGAAAATATTTTATTTGTGACATCTGACTATGTAGAAGAGTACAACCCCAAACTAGTAAGTTACTGTCCTCTTTCCCACCTCCCGCTCAGCCATCCTCTGGGTTTATTTGGTCACTTGCACCCCGTTGTGTTTCATTTCAGAAATGCGACGAACACACACTAAAAAATCCAGACATCAAAGTTGTGGACTTTGGGAGTGCAACATATGATGATGAGTATCATAGCACTTTGGTGTCTACAAGACATTACAGAGCTCCTGAAGTTATCCTAGGTCAGTAGAAGGCCGTAGGGGGGATCTTGTATGCTGTTGATCTGTGCTACAGAAGTGGTGTGTGTCTTGCTTGAGCTCTTGAACTGTTGGCAGTCTGGTATAAACATCAACCCTCTGAATCTTTCCACAGCACTGGGCTGGGCACAACCATGTGATGTCTGGAGCATAGGATGTATTCTTATAGAATACTACCTTGGATTCACAGTATTTCCGGTAGGTAACTATGAACCTCAGAATGATGCTTCTCAGCTTGGTGAACATACATACACTACAGAGAGGTGGGGAATCTGTGCAAAAAAGTAAGCTATGTTTCTCTGTAACGCCAAGTTGAAGAGACCAGAAGCTGTAGGCATAAAGGAACTGTCTCAGCAGGCTTCTACAGGTTGCTTTGAGTAAACATTTTGGCAGCAGATTGGTATGAGGGCTCACCCTGTTACCATTTGTCATTTACAAGCCACACTTCATCTATCACTATCAGCAAATACTACCCAAATTCTGTCATCTTGACAGTAGTGCTGGAACTTGGAAGTTGCTGGGGGTGGGGGGGCGGAGAAAGCAGGGTCAAGGGGGAAAAAAAAAACTGAAAAAAAACCCAAAACAAACCTCCAGTATACTGTAACTTCAGGAACTGGATGGCTACAGCCTTGCTTTTTTTTTTTTTTTTCTTCCTTCTTAATCTGAAATTGTATATTGGTTGCAGGGTACAGTCAGCAGTGAAGTAAGGTTAGTATTTGGTTTCTGGTAACTGCCTCTAACAATGAACAAATATGCCTGTCTTAATTTCCTTCCAGACTCATGACAGCAAAGAACACCTGGCAATGATGGAGCGCATACTGGGGCCTTTGCCAAACCACATGATAAAGAAAACCAGGTAAGTATATTTTTCCATACCTAGGCTGCTATAGCTTAATTTATTTTCAGATTTGGTTTAATTAGCAAACTTAAATCATAATAAACTCAGATTCATCCTTTTGCTCTATTTGAGAAGCTGGCCACTCTTGTGGATAGTCCCAGATCAGTTCCCAGCTTGTGAGCAAACATGCCGATAGCCAAAGATTGTGTTTTGTCCCTAACAAACCATGGTCTGTTTGTTTAAGGAAACACAAATATTTCCGTCATGACCGACTGGATTGGGATGAACACAGTTCTGCTGGCAGATATGTCTCAAGGCGTTGTAAACCACTGAAGGTAAGATGACAGGAAGGAAAAATGCTTTTGGAGAGAGCAACTGCAATTGAAAGTAATAACCCCACATTTTGTTGTTTTTCTTCATGAAGGAATTCATGACCTGCCATGATTCTGACCATGAGAACCTCTTTGACCTCATTCAAAAGATGTTGGAGTATGACCCAGCCAAGCGCATTACTCTTGAAGAAGCACTGAAACATCCTTTCTTCTTCCCATTGAAAGAGGAACAAAGGGCGCTGTCTCCTACTGCTGAGCAGGCTAACACTGATGTTAGTCCACCAAAGAAACATAAAAAATGTTAAATATTTATTGTACACAGTTATTTTGTAAATGCCCTATTTTATATTATGACTTTTCAGATACTGAAGTTTAATCCAGCTGCTGGCATAAAATTTATTTAAGGAGAACACACTGATGAACATAGTTGTTTTTCCTCAGTAAATAGAAATCTTAGGCCAGGTGCACTTTTAACATGTGGAAAAGAGCACCCATGACTCTACAAAACAGACCTCCTAACAGCAAGAAGGTATTATTCTAAATAGATTTTATTCAACTGTCACTGGAAAAACAAAAGACCTAGGACTGATTGTTACCCTTAGCATGACTGATGCTTCCTTTTTTTGGGTCAGAGAACAGAGACAGTCCTTGACATTAAGTGGAAGGATGGCCTTTATTTATAAAAAAAAAATTACAAAGGAAGATAACTGTAGTATTGAACAGACTGCACCATGATCACCCATTTTTTAATTATTTTGTTAATTTTAGTAGGTGTACTCTGGGTACCAGTATTTCAGTTAATGCTCATTATTTAGCTTACAACAGTATAGACATCACTCTTACCAAAATCTTTCTTAAATTATGAGCTGTCCTGAGAATTTCCACTAGGAATCCAAGTTCTGGGTAACAGGTAAGCTGTTTGGTTTAACACATCAACTGCCAGCATAAAATAATCTCTGCACTTCAGGGGGAGAGGGTAGAGTTCAGTCTCTTACCTTCCAGCAGTCATGCATTTGCAGAGCAGTGCAAGCCAGCTGTCCCCTGCCCCAGCCCTGCTGTTGGGCAGCTGTACCTGGAACCTTCTCTCTTCCTGAGAGAAGCGGCAGCAAGGCTGCCCCAGAATTGATGCCTGGCCAGGACACAGAGCTCGCAGGAGTGGGGCAGTTAGTACAGAGGATTGCTTTATGCTGAAAGTACAATGATGAGAAAGGCCTTAGGGAGATGGGGTGGTTTGGAGCAAGTGGTGCAGCTGGAAGTGTCACACCAAGTTACCACACAAGCCATGGCCTCTTAACTTGGGAGGCTTTTTACAATTCAATTTGCAAACAGAACTGCCATGAATCCCATTCACCATAGCATGTCTATTCCAATGTAGATAGAAAACCCAAGGGGTAAAATGGATTTCATTGTGGAAGGCCTTAAATTATATTATTACAGTAGAAAATACAGGAGGTAGAATATAACTGAAAGGACAAATGCAGGTTAGAGTCAAATCTAGAATAGCTCCTGTAAGCTACTTAAAACATGGTTTTAAAAACTAAATCCAGTATTTCAGTAACTATAGAAAAACGGTTAAAATAAATTGCCATGAGAGCCCTTATATCATGCTTGATACAGGGAGGTAGGATGTAAGAATCGGGACACATGAGACGTGACACTTATCTACAACTCCTGTTTGCTTTACTGAGGACAGAGTTTCACAGGTCAGTCACCCTCTTCAGCTTCAGACTCTGACTCTGGAACAGAGAGACAGAGACCTGTCAACAGGCTACCAGCAAGTCAGTTCTCCCAGTCCCCACCCTGCATCCCACTAAGAGCTGCTGTTGGGTCCACATGGATTTCACTGGCA